CTTGCGATTTCTTCTTTGCATTTTCCCTATAACGGTGGTGATTGGTGGTGTTGGTGTTCGTGCTCTCATGCCTTCTCCTTTGCCCAGTGGATGGGTGCTGAGTCCAGCACGGTACTTCCAGGAGATCGGGTTGGGGGGTCGGCTGAATTGACGTGGTTTTATCTTGCTTTTGCTTAACATATTGGGATGGTCGAAAGCGCATGAAATGCATCAAAAAAGTAATACGACGTTCAGAAATGTGTAAAAGAGTAGCAGCAGCATTACTTGGTCAGAGAAGCTGAAATCTTAATACTCGTGGGTGCTTTGCATTGAAGGACGTCACCAACACTTCTTGGGAAGGGCACAAGAGATGGCCACTTGACGAACGGAACGCTCACGGCACACTGAAACGCTGAGCAGCTGGCAGGCTGCATCGGTAGCTGGTAGACAGTCACGCCAAGTGCGAATGTCGATAGCTGGGTGTAGCTGCGGCTTTTGAGTTGAAGCAAACCCGAAATTGGGATTTGGGTCTCCGGGGGCGGAAGCACATTGGTCTTGTCATTGCTTCTGAAAGTTTCTGAAAGGGTGTTTTAAAAAATGACGAAAACAACATGTACCTGGCCAGTTACATTTGCTGTTGTTTAGTTCATTTCACGAGCGACCGTGATCCAGCGCTCTGAGGTTGAAATGGCTCGTCATTTGTCTCGCAGCGACCGTGCTCGAGTGGTGAATGTGTGGGGCAAGGCGCGACCAATGCGGATGCAGCGACCAATTGTAAAGGAGCTGGACTCGTTTTGTTTTCAGCGTACTTGAGCTACTAGCTGGGTATTTTATGGTTTTGCCTCGTTCTTTTCGAAGATATGTAAAGTCGAAGGTACTTCTGAGAACCTCCTTGGAGGCCTGCTGGTTTTGTCAGGGAAACGACGCACAAGCATGGGGCGATGGGCTGAATCGCCTCAGCTGAATCGCCTCCCACACTTGTGACTGCAGGCACCGGGCCTGGGAAAGACGGCGATGCTGGCAGAGTTCACTCGCTTCTGCATCTATCCAGGCACCGAAGGGGAGAAGTGCCCAGCCAAGCCTGCAGCGAACTGAGGCGAACACCCTTTTGTACTGCGCCTGTCCTTGAGAAATGCTCTGTGTGTATCCGTTTTGACGGCTAAACAAGCCCTTACGACATAGACCTGCTCGAAAGGCAATAAAGTTATGGAACCAGCAGTCTTTCGGCATATTTTGATACGTGGCATGTCATGTTATAGCATGTGTGATTTTCTTTTGTCTCTCTTGTTCTCCCTTGTTTTGAAGACCGGACATCGCATAAAAGCATCCATGAGCGTCTTCAGTCTCCACTCCAGGCCGGCTCTTCGAAGGTTTGGCCATCTGGGTCCCTTTGCGCTTTGCACCTCCGGAGCCGACACCAGGCGAGGACGCGAGGACGGACAAGTCTCCGAATAAAGAAAACTTCATAGTGATGGCCTCCAACCTAAGAGCCATGGTAGATCCAACCTACTAGCGATGACCTCCAACCTAACAACGATGGCCTCCCACCTAATAGCGATGTTTTCCAACCTAAGAGCGATGTCCTCCAACCTAGTAGCGCTGGCCTCCAACCTAGCGATGGCCTCCAACCTAGCGATGGCCTCCAACCTACTAGTGATGGCCTCCAACCTGGTAGCATTGGCCTCCAACCCGCCTCCGACCTAGTAGCGATGGCATTCCACCTAATAGCGATGACCTCCAACCTAAGAGCGATGATGGCCTCCGCCTCCAACCTACTAACAATGGCCTCATGTTTAGAAGATTCGAGCTCTCTTTTTGGGGGGAATTGAAAGACTTTGCGGCGTTCAAAGGGTTTTCAAGAGGGAGAGAAGACCACTGCCTACTCTTGACAGTCATGAGCATGAACCATGCGCTCATGGGTTCGTGAAGGACACCGCAACAAGGGCAAAACAATATATCCTTTGACTTGAAGCTCTCGCACTCTCTCTCTCTCTCTAAAATAATAATCTAAACACCAATCCAAAGGCTTTGCACTCATGATATTCAGAAAGAAAGATGTTTGGCATGAACAGAATCTTCCCAAGAACATTGTGAACCTGCTCAAAACATGTATAGCTGTGCGTTTCTTGCTCTTGTTGCGGAAACTTACACCCGGTCCGTGCATCATTGCCCCCGCAATTTTGGCCAACGTCGGAGGGTGTACATTGAAGCTCAAGGTCTTCACCGTTTCCCTAAAGCTCTAGGAACCAAATCATTAGTGCGAGCGCTATCCTGCGTCCTAGCTAGGAGCGAACTTCTCCTAGGAGCTTACTTTTCCCTTACATAACTAAGTAGGTGCCTCCTTGAATCAAGTAGGCACGGGCTAAAAAGAGTCTAAAATCATGGTTTGCTATTAGGTTGGAAGCCATCGCTAGTAGGTTGGAGGGCATCGCTAGTAGAAACAACAAGGAAAGGAAAGAAAAGGAAAGGAAAGGGAAGGAAAGGAAAGGAAAGGAAGGAACATGCTATTAAGAAAACACAACTCGCTTTGCAGGTTTGCTGCCTTTGGTGCGTGCCAGTTCGGGCCCACGCTCCGAGCGCGGTGACCTCTTCCTGGAGCAGGTGCGGTCGTTTTTATTTTGTCTTCCGAAGTAGCAAAGAATATCCGATGGCCTCCAACCTACTAAGAAAGAACAAAGAGGGACAAATCACACATCAACAAGACTTGCATGCGCTTTTGTTGCATTCAGAGAGACCTTGCACTCATAGGTAGTTTGATGAAAGCACATCAAAACCGAGTGGCCGTGTGTTGTCTGCTCGACAGGTGATGACCTCAGTGATACTTGGCGGACTCCTGGGATTCGGAGACGTTCCGTTTCAACGAGAAGCGTTCCGAAGATGTGTGGAACTGGGCGCCCCGTTCGTAGCGTCCTTGTTACTAGTAGTACGGCTAGGAGCCCCTAGTAGCGATGCCCTTTGTTACTAGTAGCTTCTTGTTCCTACTAGTAAGGCACTTGTTACTAGAAGCGATGCACTTGTTACTAGTAGCTTCTTGTTACTAGTAGTACGGCCAGGAGCCCCTAGTAGCGTCCTTGCTCCTAGTCCCTAAAAGAAATCCCATTCCATTGGATCAAGAAAGCAGTGGGGATGGGCAACATGGAAGTGATCCAAAAATATACGACAGGGTTCTGGGTAGCTGTGGCGTAGGGTTTATATCTCAAATTCCTACCTTAAAAAACAGACAGACATCAAATGAAGCATGCATCTTAGTGGAGTTGTGGTTCCGGGTGTGAGTCAGGCTGAGGTAAGCAAGGCCGAGCATTTCTGTGAAACGTTGGACTGGTACAACATTCGGCAAATGTACTCCTAAGCATTCAGATTGCGGTTGTCTTTAGTTGTGTGGGGCTTGGAATTGTATATCGTTGGTTGATCAAAACGCTTGGGTTGCGGCGCTGTCGGTGGAAGTCACCGAGGATCAGCTTCATGGAACAGATCGACGGTCGAGCGTCCCTTGATTAAAACCATCAAGAGCTGGGGATGTGATGGCCTCCAACCTACTTGTGATGCCCTCCAACCTAGAAGCAATGGCCTCCAACCTAATAACGATGGCCTCCGACCTACTTGAGATGGCCTCCAACCTAATAGCCATGTGATGCCTTTGATCTAGACAACCTGGTTGTGTTCACGTGCCATTTCTCCGGAAGTGCACTTTCCACCAGTTTTGCTTTCTTTCCAGCTGACAGAGAATCATGACTTCAAGTAAATTGAGTGTACAAGACCCGACTGACTCCGACTGACAGAAGTGAAGATCCGGGTGGTTTCATGGGTTCCGAGCCACAGAAGTACTCCCAGCATCAAACCGACCATGGCTTCAGTGGAGCAGGCCGGGTACCAAGAGCTATGAGACCTTGCTGTGGTCCTTGCGGCGCTTGGAGTGTCAAGGGCGAGTCCTCTTGGTGCTGGACCCTCGGAGCAAAACGCCCCAACCTAGAAGCGATGGCCTCCAACCTGCTGCTAGCGATGGCCTCCACTCCGTCTCCGAAGTGAGTCAGTCAAGTTTCGTTAGATCGGAGCTTTGATTGGAGACCTTGCGAAGCCATTTACGGCTGGCCTGTAGCTTTTTGTTGTCTTTTATGCGTGTTTCCGTGTCTTTTAGTAGGGAGAGCAGACCCGCACGACAGAGATAGGGAGGGAAAGAGAGAGAGAGGGACTGTGTGTGTCAGAGTCAGAGTCAGAGTCAGTCTCGTGATGTGCCGTCAAAAATTTCCAAGACTGCCCTGCCAGAGTGCTAAGATCACAAAACGCAGAGCTACTGAATCATTCAGTGTGGATGGTGGTTGATTTAGCTGCTGTTTAACATGTGAAAGAAGCACTCCGAAAGGCTCTCTTAGGTTTCTGAGACACTTCCATACGACTTCGTATTCATTCTGTGAGAGCTTGCACTCCAACCTATTAGCGATGGCCTCCACCCCAATAGCGATGGCCTCCAACGAGTTAGCACTCCCAGCCAGCGATTCCTGTGTGACTTGATGGTTTTGCCAAGGATGGGGTTGAAGACTGGGTCGATAGCATGGCTGTGAGGACGAGCGGATGTGGATCTGACCCGAACAGAGATCGCCTCAAAAGGCGAGTTTATAGAAACATCCCTAACCTCTAGCGATGGCCTCCAACCTAGAGGGGCAGAAAATGTAGAAACATCGCTACTAGCAACAAAGGGCATCGCTACTAGTAACAAGAACGCTACTAGTGGCTCCTGGCATTACTGGTACTACTAGTAACAAGAAGCTACTAGTAACCAAGCCCTTCAAAGGTGAGACATGCCAAATGGATGAGGTACATGACTTAGGTGCTTGTCGAAGAGTATCAAAGTGTTGTGTTTGCGTGTCACACGATACTTACAGATGTCTATCGAACAGCAGCATCGTGTACCCAACACAGCGCGGCTAGTGGACGCACTTTGAGGCACTATTAGACTAATAGAGGAAACAATAAGCTACTAGGAACAAGTGCATCGCTTCTAGTAAAAGAACTTTCTGCAGAGGATGTTGCTCGCCGACATGCTTCAAGCCACCGAGCGCCTGTGCATCCTGCTGGGCAGCCGAATCCATGTGCCCTGGAGCAAATTTTGAGCGCTGACTACCAGCAATAGCAACCTGAATATTTCAACGTTTGTTTGGGTGTTCCATGTTGCTACTAAGAGCAAGGACGCTTCTGGGGCCTCCTGGCCTTCGATTGTTGGTTCCCAAGAAGGGAGCTTTGCGTTGCGGGCCCACGGCGGATCTCGTCATTTAAGGTCCAAAGCTCCTTCGGTGGACTGAAGACCGACAATTTGGAGCTGAAGCCACTGCAGCCGAAGGATGCCGCACAGCTCTTCCTCTATCGTAGCGCGGCGAGCAAAATAGGAAAGGAAATTGCTTTAAATAGATACAGCTGGAACATGCAAAGCCAAAACGTTCGACTAAGAGGGCCTCATGTGAGACACACACACACAGATGGCAGATGGATGATGGATTTGACTTTCATCTTGGGCAACAGCCAGTGGCAAAGGGCATCGCTACTAGGAGCAAGGACGCTACTAGTGGCTGGTCGATGGTCGCCAAGTTGGGACCCACCATGTGCACGAGCAGGGCAGGCATTTGTCCTTCCAAAAGGCCCAGCAGCGTGGAAGATGACGAAAGAAGTGGGTGTTCAGAGCCACAGTGAGCCATATGCCAGAGCTCTATTGCTTAGGCGAACGGGCTCGATGGACATAACGAATGTGTCACACGACAGTGCCCCATCATCTTTTGAAGTCTTCTGTGTTTATTCGTAAATCATCCAAGTCGTTCTTGACATAATCCTTCGCAAACTGCCCGAAACCCTCACAAGGTGTCCACAATCAAACACCTCCAGGGCTCATTTTGGGTTTGAGCCTAAGAGTTCATAGAGACCCAGGCGTTCACCGTCACCTTTATTGGAAGGCGCGGAGTTTTCAGTCGCGGAAGATTTGCAGTTCATCCTGTAGTCTCCAAGAGATGAAACACGGGACATGTGCATGACACTTGTTGTTGCAGTAACAAGAAGCCATTAGGAACAAGTGCATCGCTTCTAGTAACAAGTGCCTTACTAGTAGTAACAAGAAGCTATTAGAATTAAGTTCAATTAGAATTCAATTTAATTCTAATAGCTTTTTGTTACTACTAGTAAGGCACTTGTTCCTAGTAGCATATTTGTGGTTCATGTCTCGTGATGTTCAACAAGTGAGCGAAGTCAGCCGTGTGAGGACATTTGGCGTAGCAAGGAGGAGTGGATGAAGAAAGCCACCGAGTGGTACGGGGACAACATCTACAAGAAGGCAAGCAAAACGAGTCCGAACCTACCAAAAAGGTGTAGGACAAGGCACTTGCTGGAAAGCCAACAAGAGATACATGTTGCAGAGATTCTTCTGGCAGCAAGGCTTGCGTTTCAGCTTCCCAAAATGTGTCCGACATGTTGTCACAAGGTCAGTTTCAACTATCAATCTGAGGGTTTGTGGGAAGATTACGTTTTTACAAGGGAGTCGTTTCACGTTGGCTGTGAGTTACGCAAGCTGGTGATGTACACTGAAAAAAGAGTGAGATAATCCCTGTTGAACCGGATGCATTGTCGTGCATATTCACATTGCATGCTTTTGCATAGAGCAGAAGAGATTCTTCAAGGCGGCTTCACACTCGGCCAAACAGGTGGCGGACCGCTCACTTCTGGACACGGGAGACGTTCCGATTACCTTGGAGCGGGAAAAGCGTGAAGAGGTCCAGAGCACAGCGAGTCGTCATCGGCCAGTGTTGGCAGGTTGGAGACCATTGGTTATAACAAAACGTTCAAGCTGATCGCTTGCTGTCAGGTTTTGAACGCACTGGCTGCCATGCCTTTGCTCTCGGAGTTTTGCCAAGGAGCCGAAGTCAGAACCGCTGCGAACGCCGCGACTGATGTAAGTCCACTTGAAGTTGTCACCCAGTAAGTCCAGGCCGTTTTGGCAACTCAGATGACACGCAGACAACCTTCCTTCATCGTCCCACATATAGAATTCCCAGCTAGTGAAAATATTACTCGTGGCTTCTTGTTACTAGTAACGATGCCAGGAGCTACTACTAGCATCCTTGCTACTAGTAGCGATGCCCTTCGTTCCTAGTCGCTGAAGAGTGGCTCTACAGATCTGTCGAGCGTCCTTTTGGGGGCTTCAGACACCCGACCTACATCCTTCTGCCAGGCATTCCCTTGCGCATCCAGCAGACTGCAGAGCGAGTCTGGCACTCACAAGCCCATGGAGTCGAAAACGCCCTCCATCCTTGCTAGTAACAAAGGGCATCACTCCTGGGAGCAAGGACGCTACTAGTAGCTCCTGGCATTACTAGTAGGAACAAGAAGCTGCTAGGAACAAAGGGCATCGCTACTACTAGAAAATTCAGAATCTGGCCCTCCACAGAGTGTATCCTGTGCAGAGATCGGACAACAAGACACAAAGACCTGTTGGCTTTTCTCCCCAAGTCACAACAGTGCTCCGCTGCAGTTTGTGTCAAGTCGACGTGTTTTAAAGCAATGTCCCAAGTGTTTCTATTCTCCACCAAGAAGAACACTCCGAAAAGATCCGAAAAGAACGGTGTTTTTCTGTCTTTCTGTTTGTCCTTCCTTTTGCGTCCTTCCTTTGGTCTTGTTGTCCTCAGAACGGTAACGGTAACGAGCGGGTTCGACCAGGTGACAAGCTCCTTGCCTTCGCTCTGGGTGCTGCTGGCAGAGCTTCGGGATGCCCGTGCACGGAACCGCCAGGAGATTCAGCACCACGGCAGCAAAGTGAAGAGCAAAGGGCCTCCAACCTACTTGCGATGGCCTCCAACCTAGAAGCAAAGCAAAGAGACCAGCGGAATGGTGCGAACTGGTCCAGTGACTCGTAGCTTCTGGGATCTAAACATCCTACTAGACTATACTAGACTCACTAGACTAATATCGACGAGTAACCAGTTAGGCATTCCTGAAAACGATGGTTCTGACGATTGTGTTCTGAACCTTTGTGGTTCTGAACTCCAGAGTGGTATCCTTTGCTGTGACTGACGTTGTCGCCAACATCACAAAGCGAGTTCTGACTCTGGGAACAGAAGCCCGAAGCGGTCAGGAACTGAGGTCGGCCCCTCCAGAAGAGAAGAGACCTTGTGTTTGAGGGTGAACAGGGCAGAGAAGCCAACTAAGCATTCTTCGACAACTAAACAGAAACCTTCCCAAGCTGGTGCCAAGCATCCTCACTTTGCCTTCGCCTCTACCTTGCCAAAGGCAACGGCTGCTGGCACCTTCCACGCTCCACGCCAAGCGGCGTTCCATCAGCGGAGCGTGGCAGCTGGGTAAGGCCTCTTTTGGTCCAAAAATAGTCATAAGAATGCTACTAGGAGCAAGAACGCTTCTAGGGGCTCCTGGCCTTACTACTAGGAGCAAGAAACTACTAGGAACAAAGGGCATCGCTACTAGGAGCCCCTAAATAGTAGTAAGAATGCTACTAGTAGTGATGCCAGGAGCCCCTAGTAGTTCTTGCTCCTAGTAGTAAGGCCAGGAGCCCCTAGTAGCTTCTTGTTACTAGTATCTATTTGCAAGATGGTTTGATCGTTGCATGGTTGTTTGCATCCCTGTTAAACAAGAGGTGCGATATACCAGCCTCTCCGCTTTGGCTTTCGCATCGCCAATCCATCCGATCCAGGTGATCGGGCAAGGTGCACAAGGTGTGGTGTACAAAGCCTTGGACTCTGTGTCAGGCTGGGCGCTTGGTCAGGTTCTAGCTTGGGAGGGCAAGAAGCGATGCCCTTGTTACTAGTAGCTTATTGTTCCTAGTAGCTTC